CTCTCTCTCTCTCTCTCTCTCTCTCTCTCTCTCTCTCTCTCCCTCTCTCCCTCTCCCTCCCCTCTCTCTCCCCCCCTCTCTCTCCCCCTCCCTCTCTCTCTCCCCCTCCCTCCCTCTCTCTACTCCATTACCCATTCTATGAATGTTATGTTAACAATGATCATTTTAAATAATCACAAATAAATAAACAAACAAAATAAAACAATATGGCATCCACAACACATTCATCATTCCACACAATTGATCTACTGAAAAATGTTAGAATGTACATGTACATGTACTAGTAGATACATGTAATTCATGTATACAATAATGACATGTACTGTATATGTGCAAGTATTTTGTGTGCACAAATTTCACAAGCCAATAAATAAGATTGTAGGATTACACCCATCATTACTATGAAAACATAAAATAATTCAATTAAGGTACAACAGGCAATGAAACTTGAGAGATTATAAATATGTTCCATTTAAAAAGTACATGTACATGTAGCTCAACTTAGTAAAACATTAAAAATGAAAAAATAAGTGTTAAAATACACTGCCATGTGTGTTTAAGATAAATTTGGGAGTTTCAAGGGGGCCGAGGAAAATCATATCTTCCCGGCCCCCTAGCTTTGATTTCCCCCTTACATTGTACATATAATAAGATGTTTACATTTTACATGTACATGTACACGTATTGCTAGATCCGCCCTTGTTTTATGTATAAAATAAAACCTCAAAAGAACAACCACTTTAATGACATCATCATACTAATTAATAAAAATTACAATTATTTAAAAATAATAATTAGTAATAAATACATGTACATATACAGATATTTGATGTTGATCGTGTACACATTACAAGGACTGTGTAAAATTTGTTGCTATAATAATACTAAAAATAAGATCACAAGATGTGTGTGCGTGTGTGTATGTACATGTGCAAAAAATGTAGAGAGAAGGAGGGAGGGTAAGGGGAAGATGGAGGATATACATGTACATGTAACAGAGAGAGAGAGAGAGAGAGAGAGGGAGAGAAAATTAAAAACAGAAACCAGAAAAATGAATAAGGAAGATAGAGAGAGAGAGAGGGAGGGGGACTAAGGGGAAGATAACTAATCAAAACAAGACAACAAAATCAATCAACAATCAAAATATAAACACAAACAATGCAGTACAAACAACATTATGGCAGACACATACCCTCTAATTGATCCAGGAGGTTGTGTATGTGTGAATTGGAGGCAGAGCTAATGTCTGGGGTTGTATCAATTAGATCCCTGAGCTCAGCCAGGGACTGAAAGAAGAGATAGTATCCACCAATAACATCCTCAATATTGTGCTCCTCCAGATCAGGGCTAGGAGAACTCATGGCTGGATTTTGAAATAAAGAGAGAAGAGCTTCGACTTTGGCTTTAGACTCGCCCTTAGAGGCCTCGTGTGGTCTTTATCAACAATATGGAGGGTTTGGATCTTAGAGCTTCAAATTTAGTAAGTATCAAATGTCACTGGAGAGATATTTGAGCCAAACAGGGCGAGAATATAGAGGAGTAAGACAGAAAATGAGAGCATCAACCGGCTGCTTCCCAATAACCATTAAAATAGGCGTGTCCGTGGGCGTGGGCAATCATTTGAAGGGTGTGGCTTGTATTTAAAAAATGACGGGATTTACTGCAAGGTATCCGGATCAAAATGGCGGTTCCCTGGAGAAAAAATCCCAACACAAGCTTAGAATGCCAGCCTTGGAGGAAGCTCAGTGTAGAAGGAAAGATTCTCCTAGTAAAGGGAGTGTTCCTAGCCAGCTCTTACAGCATCCTTTGTACCGACTCCTCTCTCATGTGGGAGGAGATATTAGATGAAGAAAATTTGTTAGAGAGATCAAAGGTAGCTTTATTTTATTAAAATTGTTATTTTAAAATTTTTATAGAGTTTAAATTCACATATCGAGGCACCTCCGACAGTTATTACACAACAATTATTACAGAGGCTATTAAATGGCCCGTTAATCAAGTGTAAATATTCAATTAACGTGAGTGATTGAAATTATATTTTTAAAAATATTAATTATTTTTTATTTTAGATTACAGAAAGTTTATTAACTCTCTCAGTATCGGGGCCACTGCAAGGTGATTCTGGGCCCGAGTATCAATGGAATTTTTGTCTTCACAAGACCCCCTCTCTAGTTGTAAGCTTACCAAATCTTTTAATTGGCAATTTTCAACTTCTTTTGTAGCTAAAGCACCAATTGGTCAATCCATTATTATCAATGTCTGTCGAGTTGCTGCGGCAGCGGAACAGATTAGTTGATATTATTGAAAAGAAAGACAAAGAAATAAGAGACTACAGGGAGAATGGAGCCGTAATATCTAGAAGTAATTATCAAGTAGCATTTTAAATTACACGTACCTTGTTGGATAATTAGAACATTTGGAAACATTGCCATTTGACGAGAAAGCGTTCACTAATGAAATGATTGTCACACAGGTAATGTGTTTTAAAAAAAATTCATTATTATTATTATCATTGTAGGATTTTCAAGTCTCTTCCATTGATCCATTAAGCAGTATAGATTCATCATGGCAAGACTTGTACAGAGATTTATCTTTGTGTCGCAACTGGGTATCATCTACTGGTAAGATTTTACAAGTGTTTATTGTATTTTTATTTTTATTTGCTCTGGGCTATGATCATAGAATAGTTGTATAACAGTGAGTGGGCGTATCAAAGGCACTGCCTATGCTACAAGTGTGATGTATCCCTGTGGTTTTATTTGCATCCCTGTGGTTTGCACAGGAATGCATGCAGGATATCATGCAGGAATGCATGATATAGATAAGCATTCAGCTAAAATTTTAGTCAGAAAAATAGTTATTATTGTAAATTTTTGCATGCATGTCCTTATGCTGTGTAGAAAGTTTAAGTTGATTCTGATCAAAATTGCATTTTATTTTTATCAGTTTTTAAAATTGCTCAAAAATTGGCCAAAGACCATGTATCGGTATTATGTTTCTTTTTTTCAGATGTTACCTCATCAACAACTGAAATGCTTCCTGGTACTGGAGGGACGTGGGAAAATAAATTACCTCCTTCTTTAATCGGCTCAGCAACCACCACACCCAGTGTATCACCTAAGAAGAGATCACTAGAATCATCCCCATCAAAAGTAATTATTTTTTATTATCATTGTTAGGGCGTGGTCAATTGTGTACATAGTCTAATCAGGGTTTACCCAGGAGCTTCTTGTCAGTGGATTTTCAAGCTGCTCAAAAATTTGGCCAAGAATATTTCAACAAAAATCATAAGGAGAGAATTCTCCATTTTTATAATTTTTACCTGATGCATATACATGTTTTTATGTTGTGTAGAAAATTTGAGCTGATTCCGATCACATTTGGATTGTTAATGAATTTTTAAAGTTGCTCAAAAATTAGGCCAAACCCCTGTACTATATAGTACAGGGTTTTTTGGCCAAATTTTGCCAAAAATGACTAGGAGAGAATTCTCCATTTTTATAATTTTTTCTGATGCATATACATAACTGATTCTGATCGAATTTGGATTTTTTATGAATTTTTCAAGTTGCTCCAAATGCCATGTACTTTACTGTACTGTAGTGCCTGTCACTACACTTAACATGCTTTGTGAAAATTGTGGGAAACCCTGAGTGCAAATCTCATAAGACTACATGTAACGGTAACACTTGATAAACTCCTATTTTGCCTTTTTCCTTGTATTTCGAAAAGGATGCTGAGAAAATGAGAAGACTAGAGCTAGAGAGACAATTAGAGAATAGTAAAGCAAAGAATAAGAAAAAGAAGAAAAAGTTAATGTAAACTAAAGCAAGTATAGGAGCTATGTTTTTATCAGAGAGATTTATTGGATATAATATAAAAATATAACTATTATAATGCTTTTTTACTTCTATAATTACTATGCAGAAGAATGATCGATTAAATATTAGTAAGATAAAAAATACATGAACAACAACATTAATTTATGTACAGAATATTAGCTACAAAGATGAACTTGAAAGAGCCAGCTGAAGTTTCTCTATTCTCTGGGATAACTTTTTAAAATTGAATGTCCCTTTGTTAATGCCAAAAGGATCCTGCAGACCCAAAAATAAAAACATACAAAGAAATGAAACTCTTACATTCATTGATGTGTCATCTAACTCTGGAGCATATTTCTTGATTGTTGACGAGTAATACTCGTAAAATTGCATGAAAGAGAGCTTCACTACTTCCCTATACAACATAGTTATCATTAAAAAGAGAACCATAGCTACATTAAATCTACATTAGCTCAATTGGATAGGACTTTCTCTCTAGAACATCGCAGACAGCAACACGTAAAGTCTCGTGCCTAATAATATCATTGTAGCTCTTCACCTCCCAGCCTAGCCTCTCCTTGTGAAAACCTGGCTCATTGTGGAAGGGTTTCTCGTTCATTAATGATTGTATGGACATTAAAACACTCGAGAGGTTCTGAGCAGGAGCCCACTGAGGGCCAGGCCATGTCCTAATACAAGGTTATATAAGTATAATTACTCAACTTTAATTTGTCATACCCCAGTATGCTCAAGCAGACCTTGCCATTCCTATATAAATTGGGATTAAAGCGAACAGTCCCGGAACCAGTCGTCATGAATTTTACCCTGGGGGGATGAAAGGGATAGCTGGGTGGGAAACGGAGCATAAAATGGAAGAAACCTCCTTCATAAGGTGTGTCAAAGGGACCTGTAATAAGAGCATGGAGCTAATAAAAAGAGATGAAAAGATTTAATACTTTAAAAATTTGCTCACTCTAGTTATATCATCACTTTCTGGTGCAATGAATATTCCAGGCAATGGATCACTAAATACTAGATGCAAATCCCTGCAAATGAACGTAAATTATGCTGTATGGAGTTCTAAAATATTCAATGCCTTTTCATTCGGACTATTGCATCACTGGTGGGCTTCTCAAGGTCCCAGTCAGGGGATTGAAACGGGTCCCATTTGATTTCCTCTTTTATAGAAGCAGATGTGGCACCAATTTCCCCCGGAGTATTATCATCGACAGCTGGAGTCACCTTTGATGAGGAGGCCATCTTTATTGCAGCTCAAAACTCTCAAACTCAAAACTAGAAATTTAGGGGCTTAAGTTTCTAGACTGGAGCCTGTGTATGAAAGATCGAGAACGAATCTAATCTACTGTCTATTCTGTGATGACGTCATTGTATTTTTGTGCGCATGCGCACAACAACGTATGCAGAACGACATTGGACATCCCTGTCTGCTTGTCACTGTTTGCTTGGAGAGGCGAGAAGGACTTTCTCTTTTTCTCTCTGTCCTTTGGTGGGTTTACTTTATTATATCTAAATATTCTTTGATTATCCTCCTGTCGTGTGTAGCATGGATGTTTTGACTCTAGGTCAGATCTCCACTGGCAGTAACAGAGCACTTCTCTCTGATTCCTCTAATGAGGCTCAGCCAGAAGAGTTAGAGCTCTTGACTGGGTTTCAAGGTACGGACACATTATCAATAAACTTCCACTCTCCGTCTGACTATAGCAGCGAGTCCGGACTAACTTCACCAGGTACGTGTACGCTGATAGATGATGATTTCTTTGATGGTTTGTTGAATTCTGATGATCTGCTCCTTTCGTGCAGTACTGAACTTGAGACTCCCCCAGAACCAAAACCTACTCAGTCTCCTGTACCTCTCCCAAGAAAGGATTCTCCTAAAAATAACAATAAGCCTGTTAGCATGCACGAGCCTAAGGTTCGTGTGTTTCAAGATGGTCGGAAATTAAATGATGCCGCCGTTGAAAGAAATCGTAAAAATGCCATAGCAGCACGCGCCAATAGACAGAAGAAGAAAGAGTATGTAAGTAAACTAGAGGAGCAGGTAGAGTCTCTGTCAGCTGAAAACAAAAGTCTCTTTGAGAGATGCAGAGGTCTAGAGGGACACGTCTCTGATCTAAAACAAGAGGTTGTCTACCTCAAAAGTGTGCTTGCTAATCAAAGTTCTTTGTCATCAATACTTAGAGGGTTGCCCGACATTAAAGGAGTGTCTCTACAGTCTTCTTTCTCCTCCACAGCAGGTAGCAAGAGACAGAGGAGCTCTGGAGCTGAAGAAGTGCCTCTCCAATTTAAAAAGGTGATGAAAAGTGAATGTACTGAGTCCAGTGGTGGTATTTGTCTCCATATAGCTGGTGAAGTAGCCTCTTTAGAACTATGTTCACACTGCAGTCTAGCAGCTGGAAGAAGAGAAAGACCACCATTACAGTAAGACTGGATTTGGTGTTTTAAATACAATGACTCGACTTGAAATTGTAAGACAATTTCCAATTTGTTTGTGTTTGTGGTTTGTTTTAACTTGCCTGTAGTTCATATTTAATAATTCTGTGTTTCGTGTCCCTCCATCTAAACTCGCACCAAACTCAAGTATGTATATGTGACTGAACTGGTAGGATTATTGTTTTTATTATTATTTATAACTATACCATTGTCTCATTTTGTTTCATAAAAAATAATAATATTTTGATTTTAATTTCAGTTCAGATCATCAACCCTGGACTTGGTCAGCTGAAACATTGGTTTCTTTAATAATTAGCTCAACATTTACCTTGTCATAGGGGATTGTTAGATAACAATCAAAATACTAGTACATTTAGATTAGTTTTTTATGCTGTTAAGCAATTTGTAGATATTAGAGCAAATGAGCAATTAGATTTAGCAACGAGAGGACTTAAGTGCATACATACCCTTGCCACATCTTGTACTACGAGTGCACCATCGCACATGCCCTTTTCAAATTTTGTGTTTAAATACATTAATGTTAAAAAAAAGGGCAATATGCCCCCCAAAAATTGTTAACCAAAATAATAAGGAAAAAATTACTTTCTAAATTTCTGCTAAAGAGTGACATTTTTTGTAAAGGCTATCATGGTTTGCATCAGGCCTGCAGGGTTTATGTACGCTCCTCCCATAGTTGATAAAGTTTAAGAGTCATAAAATTAATTATTCATTGTTGAATAAAGTGGAATGATCCATCCAATGATAAGCAATTAGCTAGTATTTGGCCTCACCTACTTTCAAAATTAAATAACAAACCACTCCCATTACCACAGGTATTAATTTTATTATTAAGCAATCAATTTTTTTTCAAAAACAAATTAAAATGAAAAGATTGTTATTGAGCAAAGTGTACTATGATGCTACAAATTTAATAATATCAAATAATATTATGTCTTGCATGTACCAGCTAATAAATGACAACGAGAGACCTAATGCACATAAAATGTCCTTTGAGGATAATAAATGACACTCTTGAGAGACAGATAGAGCCATCAGTTTTACCCAGACATGACCATCTTTACGAATTCTAGAGTGGGCATTAATTAGGATAAACCAGAGTTGGTTAATTAACTAACCTTCATAATTTACTTGGCCCTGCCCATCCTCTATTCCTTGTAGCAATGTGTCCACTTCCTCGTCTGTCAACTTTTCACCTACAGAAGGATGAGAGAGCCATATTATATCCCATCAGTTATCATAGTATTTCAATTACCAAGGCTTGTAAGGACGTGGCGTAGTTCGGCAGAGTTTATGAAACCGTTTCCATCTTTGTCAAAGACACGAAGACCCTCGATGAAATCCTCCATTGATCCCTGCTCCTTCTTCTGACTGCATGAGAGGAAGCATGGGAGAAACTCCTCAAACGTAACCCTCTTGTTACCTAAAAATAAGATTAATAGCAATAATTATAATTTGTAAAATGAATAACATGCTAAGTTGTGTGTATAAGTTGTTTGATATGCATGAATAGGTGATTATGAATAATTGAGATGTTTCGTGGAATTTTCCCGTCTCTGTTTGTAATGAATATTACCTTTCGGATCAACTTCTTGAACAATCTTTTTTACTTCTGCTTCAGACGGATTTAGTCCTAGTGCCCTCAATACGTCGCCGATCTGATCAGAGTCAATCTTGTTATCGCCCCTTTTGTCAAAGAGAGCAAAAGCATCTCTGTACTCTGTAGAGGGAGAAAGGGAAGAGAGAGGAGAGAGAGGAAGGTGGGAGAGGTAGAGAGTAGGAGAGTGCAAGTAAACACAAATTCTAGGTAAGTGATAGTTAAGATGATTACACGAAGAAGGAAATGTTATATTACATCTTGTGTATACAGGTAGCATAACCAAGTGATATTAGAGACCCCAACTCTCAATTACATTTATGACAATTAGACACACAAAGGCACACACTACAGTTCTTATACTAACCAATAGTACACACTTATGGAGTCATTGTGACCATATATAGTCAAAATAGGTGTGCATAACTAGTGCTCATAACTATGATACCATACTACTATCAATAAACACTGCTGTTAAGGGACACACAATGATTGCATACAGACAATAGCTCCACATGAATCTAAAGTATAATACATGCCTAAGAAGGCAATTACGCATTAACGACAAAAATACCAAAGGACTGTGAACTATTAAAATAATGGCTACTTTATTGATTATTAGTCTCGCGTAGCCAGATCCAATTGATCATCTAATTAGCTTATAATCGTTAGAGGTATGAGTGTGATGTGAATTGTACTTACCAACTGTTTGGTCTTCGGTTATACGGTCCTAAAGAAGTGTAAAATGTCAATTAAAAAAAGAGAACACATGGAAGACTAAATCTACTACTATATCTCTTGTCTCTGTTCATAAAAGGTGTCAAAGGGATCTAAAACTCACTAGATTTTGGTTAGCCATTACTATTAGGGCTAAGAGTACCGAGAGAGGGAGAGAGAAAAGGAAAAGCAGAAAGCAAAGTGGGGGTGGCACTAGTGGACTGACTGGTTGACGTAAAAAGGCAGGTATGATTATGAATATCAGTACCGGCTTGGTTTACTATGCAGTGTATACAAACTTACCACCATTATTGTGATTGGTTCGAGGCGGGAAGTAAGAGAAGAAAAAGAGCCCGAGCTGTAGATTGGGAGAAACTGCAATGAGAAGGACTGGTTGCCTTGTGACCGCAAACCTGTGTAGGATTATGTTTGTCTGCAAAAGCAAGGAATCTTTGGAATTTTGTCATAATGAAAACATTATGGGCGTGGCTACTTAATTTTATTAGCCACGCCCCGTTAGGAGGAGGAGCGGTTTTAAGACTTCAAGTGTCGTTCATTCTTTATTGTGTACTTTTCTGTTGTTTAGGTCCTCTAATGGGAAAACTCTGTAGCTTTAACTGTTTAAGATGGTCTTTGATTTTTTTAAACATATTTTACATAGTGAGTCCTTAAAGATTTATTCTCCAGTTGTCATTATTTTCTTCTCTCTCTCTCTCTCTCTCTACTACTCTCTTTTACTCCACAGACACTGGGGCTCATCCTCATCGGTCTGGTTATAGCCACTAGAACCTTAACATACATGTCAGAGCCTCATGTATTAATAGTCACTGCTGTCGCTGGCAGTATTCTTGTCTTACTTGCCATATTTGGCATGATTGGTGCCGTCAGACACAATCAAGTCATTCTCTTCTTTGTATCCTCTACCTTTAATCTTCCTCTTTATTTCTATAATTAATTAATACTACCCTCATTTCCTTCTGGAATTGTACTCGTACTTAAAGTACTACCACCTCATATCCTTGTTGGCATTGTTGGCAGCAATAGGTTATCGTGGGGTCCAATAGAGCCCACTATAGCAGCTGGAGATAATGTGTTCTAATACAAGTACATTAATTTATGTATGCCACCTACTCTGTTCTCCTTGACCCTGTTATTATACAGTACATGATAGTACTTGGTCTTTCTCTTCTTTTCATGTTTGCTGTCTCGGTGGCAGCTCTTGTCACTCCTAAAAAGATTCAAGAGACAGCTCTTGCTACCAGCTGGGCGGCACTCAGTGACAGTCAGAAGTCGGCTATACAGATCAGTCTAAACTGCTGTGGTTTCAACAACGTGACACAGAACAATTCTAATAGTGATAGCCCTGGAGATATGCATCCATCTTGTCACGTGGAGCCTTTGACCTCCCCTGAGGTAATAGGAGAGAGAGAGGGAGGGAGAGAGAGGGAGAGAGAGAGAGGGAGGGAGAGAGAGAGAGAGAGAGGGA